CCTCAGCCAGGGTCAACCCACCACACCTCTCCAGGGGCTGGTGACACTGGTTTCCAGATCCTATTGCTTATGTCTGGGCAAACTTTTTGCCTTGTGCTGAATGGTGACTGGGGCACGTGTGAAAATTATTGTTGCAGAGAGGTGGCTGAGATCTGGAGAGATGCTAGAGGAGACAAGAGATAGGCTGGGACAAAGGCTGAAAATTGCATCTAAAATACCATTTCAGAGAACATGCCCCACATTTCTCGGTCAGATTTGCAGGCTGGTTGCCGTCTGTGAGTCCTGAATACTTCAATTTTTTTCTCCATAACAGCTTAATTTTTTTTTAATTTTTTTTTTAAATTTCACCTGGTCATGATGGTTTTCATTCCTTGTCTTTATTTGTTACAGAATACAATAGCATTATTACAATTAGATATTTATGACAGTGGTAACAATTTAGCAGTAGATAGCCAGCATGCAGGCAATGAGCAGGGAGGCTTTCACGTGCGTGTCAGACCATAAACTGCCACTCAAGTTAGAAGGTGTCTGACCTTAAAAAAACCCCACATTTGATTATGTTGCTGCACTTCCTTTGCAGTGAACAAAACAGTTTGGGATCCTTAAATATGAAAGCTAACATATAAATATAAGCTACTAATATTGTGTGAAGAAATCTCTAAATGTGTAATTGTACAGAATGTTTGGGGAGAGAGAAAACATCGGTTCCTGTTGATGTGACAGTGCGTGATTTGCAAATAGTGTGTCTGTTCCCAGCAGCGGCACTGGGAGGCAGTGAGCTCTGCAAAGGATGTCCCATCTTCACCACTTTTAGGTCTAGGTTCTAGTTCAGGAAAGCATATTTATTGGTGAATCTCAAAAGTGGAAAACTCTAAAATACATTGCTATTAAGTATGCACTTAAGAGCCCATTGGAGTATGTGTGACTTTGCAATGAAGAAAATTCTATTTCAACATACGGAAAAAAATCTCAGCTGTCAGAGTGGTGAAACTTTTGAGCAGGTTGCCCAGAGAAGCTGTGGCATCTCCCTCCTTGAATATTTTCCAAACCTGACTGGACAAAGCCCTGAGCAAACAAGTCTAACATTAAGGTTAACCCTGCTTTGAGCAGGAGGTTGGACTAGAGAACTGCCCCCATTCTCCTCACGCCAAGGTCTCTTTGAAATGAAATCTTTCTATGATTTTATGACTTTGACTCCTGGTTACATTTAAGCATTTGCCCAAGATGGCGCCTTGCTAAAAAAGCAGCTCCATCCCATGAAAAGGAGACTGTTTTTCACTTGCCTTTTAATACTTTGCATAGCACGGCAAGTGAAGATACCTTTCTTCCCGTCATCGTCAGCCTCTCCTCCATGCTAGCACTCCTCCCCTCATCAAATAATTCAATTTAACTTTGCGGCAACGGAACGCAAACACTGATTTCTCATGTCCGTTCAGGAAGGTGCCAGGCAGGAGGGAGAAGACTGTATCCAAAAGCATGAGGTGCACGGGTACAAACACGTCTCCCAGCCATGAAGAGAGGCAGCTAAGATGGGAATGCTCAAGTTGGGTGACAGAAGCCATTGGAGAAAATCACCAACTGCAGCACCACAAACCCAGCGCCTCTTAACTTATGGCCTGAAGGTGTGACATTCTCTCCCTTCGTCTTGGGGCGGGGAGAGGGAAGGAGAAGCTGCACCATGTGGTTTTGTTAGAAATACAGGGGGAAGGAGATGATAGGGGAGGCAGGATGAGGAGCTAGGAAGCCAGGAGGAAGGTGGAAGTGTAGGGGAGTATGTATGTGGGAGTTTGTACAGGGAATGGACGATGTTACATGTATTTGGGGAAATGTCATTGTATGAGTAGATATGAAGGAAAGGAGTCAGGCGTGTGGGGAACAGCAAGAGGCCCCAATAGTGAGATCTATACCAGAGAAGACGGGCTCTCTTCCTTATCTGTTCTCAAGTATCATAAGAGGTTTACAGTAGTTTTAGTTCAATTGTGACAAAGATGACATCTGTCAATAAACAGGGACTTTAAATTAATGTGAAAGGGACCTTAAAAACAGTAGATGGATACAAGTATCAGTTGCATCTCTGAGGTATGAAATTTCTTGGGACTTGTCCTCATTTGCTTATGTTCAGTTTTAATTAAGTAAAATTTAATTTGATAGCCCATTAGAAGTACATCCAAAGGGAACTGCTGAATGCCCGTTAACAAGTGTTTCCATGCTTCTCTCTCACAAATGGGTGACTTTTGTACTGTGATCACTTTTTGTAAAATAAACAAAGCAAGCTACCTGTATTTCCATTGCTAGAAAATCTAAAGTTGCTAAAACCAGGATTTTTGTAAGACACCCTTGCAGTCCAAAGTACCTTAGCTTCCATTTATCAATATGTGCTCACGCTTCAGAGATTGTTTAAACAAGGAAGAAACTGCCCCCCATCCTCATCCCCACTAATTTCATGCAAGAATCCATCATTTTAATAGAAGCTTTATTTGCAATGTGAAAAAGACCTGGCCATTCATATCAGTGATGGGGAGAGCAAGGAAGGGGAGAAGCTATCAAATGACTGTGTTGGTAAAGGATGAACTGCTTGCACACCTTACTTCTAGGCTGATGTTTTTCTTCTATTCAGCGTCTTCCTCCTTTGCCACCCATTGCTAAAGATAAATACAAAGAAATGTGTGAGAATGACTTCAAGCAAAGTTGCCGTACAGTGCGACATATGGAATATCTGAGCATTGGTTACAAACATTCCCAGGTCAGAGACAAAAGGTCTGTGTTACACTTTGAAAGACACTTTTTGAAATTAAGAACTTAATTCTGTCTCCAATTGTCTACCATATACCAATACTACCATGATGACCCTCCTTCCTGGTGCACTCAAAGACTAGGCTTCTTCATACCTTGGTTTGATTTACCTAGGTGTGGACCACATTAACTTGGCAGGGTGATGAGGAAAACTTGTGCTGTTCTCTGCTTTGAGCTGGTAAGTGCAGGTAGATCCCTCTGCTTTTGACCCAGCAAATTTCCTTTAAAGAAAGAAAGCTAAGCTGTTCTAAAAGGCCACAAGAAGTGGACTAATGATTCCTGTCTGTCAGCTTGGTAACTCTGTTCTCATGTTTTACTGTTTCCTCCCACTTAATCTGTTTCATATGTCTAAATATGAAGCTCTTGATTTGGTTCTGAATTTGAGTTTGAAAAAGAATTAATGAAGTTCCACTGTGGTGCTGATGAAAGTATAACCTAAACTTCCAGTGGCCTTTTTTCTGTCACTATGTATTCCAGATTTCTGTCTCTGCTATCCACCCATATCTTTGCAACTTTATGGCATAGTTATTTCCACTAATTCCCTAGCTGCAGCTTCCCACCAACTATAAAGCAACAAACAGGAGAAATGTTGCTTCAAGTACAGTGCAGCCACTTTTCTTATTTGCATCCCTTCACCTAGTAAATGTACACTTGAGCTGAAATACTGCTGAATTCTTGGAAGTCATTTGTTATTTCATCTTTATTAGGAAGACTCTCACTTACAGATGGACTGGACAGTGGCAGTTGTACCACCCCTGGGAGTTCCACCTCCATGGGAACTGGCCTCCTTGGACATCATCTTAGACGCCTGGGATCCACTGGAGATCCCTCTGCTGGTAAAACCTGATGAATGAGTTGAGCCTTTGGCACCTAAAACAGTTACAAAGAAGATGTTACTGACTGGAGGGAACCTTACAGGATAATTATAAACTACAATGTTTTTTAAAAAGTCAAGGCTAGCAAATGTTTCAAAAGACAAGATGACTCCTGATTACTTGACTTGTTCCAGCAGTGTACTGCTTTTTAGCTGCCACCCTGGGGAAAAGACATTTGCGGTGTTTTGTGGATGTTCCCAGAACACAAAGAAAATCTTGCACAGACTGTTTTTGATAAACTCGGATCTCCAAAACAGTTTCCAGCACAGTTTGTCTCTGCTGAAATCACAGTTTTCTGAGAGGCTGCCTGAGGACTGTGGAACAAACCCCTACAGGAACTAAAGATTGTTGCAGACCTCACCACTTACTGTTCCAGGTGACACATACCTTCCTTTCACCCCACTTTCCACAGCATAAACCTATGCGTAATAGATACCTGTAGAATTCAAGTACAGCAAGCTGTGGTAGCCAGTGGCCAATTTATATATATATATGTCTCCATCTCATTACAAATAAGCCCCAAGCAAAGTATTCCATTGCAAATTATTCTTCTCCTGGGAGAGGAGTAAAGCATTAGCAATGACAAATGTTAGTGATAATGCTTAAAGCATTCCTGGAGGATGCTCAAATATTTTGGTGATGAGCTTGTTATAAAATCTTCTCTAAAGTGATACTGAACAATACTCATGCCCTGCTGCAGAATCAGCCGCTCCTTCGAGCGTGTTTGTTCTGGGGGGAGGAGGGGTTACAGTCTGAATGAAAAGGTTAAGAAGATGTGTTTGAAGAGCGAGAGATTTCAGTGAGCACCTGCGGAAATGAAATCAGGCCCTTTTAGCTCTCAATCAGGCAAAGAATGTGTGGCAAGCTCTCCTGCTGCAGGGAGCCAAAGCTCACACCTGCCTTGGCAATGTTACAGAGCTAGCATTTTTCACATGGATAAAAGCTCTTTTGGAGTATCTCCTGTAGGCATGGCTAAGGTTTTCTTGAATCGTGCATATTTCTCTTCACCAAAATAGTGGTTTTCATAAAAGTCCATAGTTGATACAGACATTGCAAGAATAAAACTAGGTGTTGTTAAACGTTTACTTTGATTCTCTCTCTTCTAAAGATTCTCAGCACGTGGAGGGATACAAGCAAGGGCAGGTAGCCTGGGAGGAATACAGAGAAACTGTCTGAGCAGCCAGGGATCAGGTTAGGAAAGCCAAAGCCCTGATAGAGGTAAATCTGGCCAGGGATGTCAAGGGCAACAAGAAAAGTTTCTATAGGTACATCAGTGAGAAAAGGAAGATGAGGGAAAATGTGGGTCCCCTCTGGAATGAAATGGGAGACCTGGTTACCCAGGATATGGAGAAGGCTGAGGTACTCAGCAACTTCTTTGCCTCAGTCTTCACCAGCAAGGGCTTTAGCCAGGTCACAGAAGGCAAAGGCAGGGACTGGGAGAATGAACAACTGCCCACGGTAGGAGAAGATCAGGTTCAAGACCATCTAAGAAACCTGAAGGTGCACAAGTCCACGGGACCCAATGAGATGCATCCGCAGGTCCTGAGGGAACTGACAGGTGAAGTGGCCAGGCCACTCTCTATCGGGCAAAGGCAGGGACTGGGAGAATGAACAACTGCCCACGGTAGGAGAAGATCAGGTTCAAGACCATCTAAGAAACCTGAAGGTGCACAAGTCCACGGGACCCAATGAGATGCATCCGCAGGTCCTGAGGGAACTGACAGGTGAAGTGGCCAGGCCACTCTCTATCGTATTTGAGAAGTCCTGGCAATCCAGTGAAGTTCCCACTGACTGGAAGAGGGGGAACATAACACCCGTTTTTAAGAAGGGTAAAACAAGAAGACCCAGGGAACTACAGACCAGTCAGTCTCACCTCTGTGCCTGGCAAGATCATGGAGCAGACACTCGTGGAGACTATGGAGTGGTGACAGCCAACACAGCTCCACTGAGGGCAAATCATGCCTGACAAACTTGGTGGCCTTCTATGATGGGGTTACAGCATCCGTGGATAAGGGAAAGGCAACTGATGTCATCTACCTGGACTTGTGCAAGGCAGTTGACACTGTCCCGCATGACATCCTTGTGTCTAAATTGGAGAGACATGGGTTCAATGGATGGACCACTCGGTGGATAAGGAATTGGCTGGATGGTCACACTCAAAGAGTTGTGGTCAATGGCTCAATGTCCAGGTGGAGACCAGTGACGTGTGGCATTCCTCAGGGGTCGGTACTGGGACTGGCACTGTTTAACATCTTTGTCAGCGACGTGGACAACAGGATCGAATGCACCCTCAGCAAGTTTGCTGACGACACCAAGCCGTGTGGTGTGATGAACACGCTGGAGGGAAGGGATGCCATCCAGAGGGACCTTGACAAGCTGGAGAGGTGGGCCTGTGCAAACTGAATGAAGTTCAACAAAGCCGAGTGCAAGGTCCTTCACATGGACAATCCCAAGCACAGCTACAGGCTGGGTGAGGAATGGATTGAAAGCAGCCCTGAGGAGAAGGACTTGGGGGTATTGATTGATGAGAAAGAAGCTCAACATGAGCCGGCAGTGTGTGCTTGCAGCCCAGAAAGCCAACCGTGTCCTGGGCTGCATCAAAAGAGGTGTGACCAGCAGGTCAAGGGAGGTGATCCTGCCCCTCTACTCTGCTCTGGTGAGA